GCATACAGTGTCTCGTGGAAAAGCGATGGCTCCTCTAGCATCCTTCTGCCTTTTCCACCCTGGAAAAGGCTGGAGTCCCACAAATCTCCAATTCAGAACCTCTCCACTGATGGAGTATCTTAGGGGAGAGAAAAGGATATGGTTCAAGATAACCATGGCGTCAAGGGAGCGCTGGGTTGGGGGTGGGGGTGGGGGTGGGAAGGGAAGGGGACGGGGGTCTTCTTCATATTCGTAGCTGGAATAGTGAAATTGGAATTAAGAAAAACAAAATTCTAGGTCCAGTTCTATCATTACCTGAAATCTTCCTCCTCTGTATTGAAAGAAAGAAAGAAAGAAAGAAAGAAAGAAAGAAAGAAAGAAAGAAAGAAAGAAGGAAGGAAGGAAGGAAGGAAGGAAGGAAGGAAGGAAGGAAGGAAGAATCTTTTAACCTCAGGGTTTGAAGCGACATCAGAGGGAATCACCACTGCCTGGTGCAATAGGCTTAGGTTTCTTGGGTTGAAAGCTCCTGTTTAATAGTCTGATGTGGACAGTTAGAGGCAAAGCAAAACGAACCAGGCCTGGTCTCATTATTTCACCGCTTGGAACCTTCGTGCCTTGCAACAGAGGGGCACGTCCTGACTTTGCTTCTTTATGAAAGGCTGAGATTCCTGATGAGAAGGTTGCTTCCATCTCTAGTGTTTTAAGATGCTGCGATTATTTTGATGGATTGAGGCCAATGGTGAGCAGAAAGCCAGAGCCAACCCTATGGCTGACGCTGTGAGGCTCTTGTCCCTCACTCTGTGACTGTGAACACAACAAAAACCTTCAAATAGAAACAGTCAGGTACACCTGAGGAATGGCCGATCATAATGGGTGCTGGGGGTTTGCGGTAAGCAGCCAGCGAAATCTCCTAGGGCCTTTGGTGGCAAGAAACAGAAACTCACACGAACTAGCTCACAAAGTGGGGAAAGGATTTTAGGGTTCACACGGGCATTGCTTGCAATCCATGAAACACGACCCCCATCCCTGGGGGGCACAGGTACCCCAGCCTGTGCATCATCAGGAACTCAGGCAACTTCTCTCTGTACCCCTCTTTGAGGAGCCATGTGTAACTTTTTTTTTGCTGCATTGCCTCATTGCCTTGTCTCGTGGCCACCTTCCATACTCACTTACTCGCTTCGTGGCATCTCATGACTAACGTCTCGAGCTGCGGCACACGGTCTTTCCGTTCCCCATGCCAGGGCTAATTGCTTCAGTTTCTGTGCCTCAGTTTCCAACGTCTAAATCTCTCTGAGATTACCCATCTAATTTAGCTGTCTCCCCACAATCTGAACCCTATCAAAATGACCACATCAAGGTGTGGTCTTCTCACATATATACACAGTCTCTGTGTTGTAACTCACTAATTTAAACTCTGCACATAGCAAACCTATAAACAGGCATACTCAAGGCATTTTTAAAGTATAGTTTATTACACTGAATATATGTTCATTCTAGAAAAATTAGAAAGCACAAAGGAAGATATAAAATAACCCATAATCTAGGAAATTCTATGTATCTCCTTTGCATGTATAAATATAGATACTATTTTTACAACATGAAATTATATTACACTTATTGTTTTGTGACCTTGTTTTACTCAATCACATATGATGAGCGTCTTTCAACTTATCGTCCTTTCAAATTAAAGAAATGGAAATTTTGATCCAGGGATGTTAGCTCATATTTATTGAACATTTAACTTGTCTTTTTCTATATCCTTTAGCTCCATTAGATCATTTAAACTTCATAGCGGAACGGAACAGGAAGTGCTATGATCCCTGTTTAGTAGGTGATCAAGGCACAGAAAGGTTAAGTAACTTTCCCAGAGTCATTCAGATGGAAAGTATTAGAGCCATGTCGTCAAGCAACAAAGCCACACTCTTTTTATTACATTTTTGTTTAGGTTTATGTGTTTGAGAGAGAGAGAGAAAGAAAGAGAGGGAGAGAGCACACAAGCAGGGAAGGGGTAGAGAAGAGAGAGAACCTCAAGCAGGCTCCGCGCCCTCGCTGCAGAGTCTGAGGCGGAGCTCGAACTCAGGAACTGTGAGATTATGACCTAAGCTGAGATCAAGAGTGGGGTGCTTCCCCAACTGCACCCCCTGGGCGCCCCAGAGCCACGCTCTTAACCACTACAGTTGCACCTCTGCATACAAGTTTTAGTCTTTCCTCACACTGAGTTTTGGGGACGGGAAAGAAAGACAAGGCAAGAGCTACAGAGGAGGGTATAAGAGAAAGACACACAGATTCGTGGTGGGAAGCAGGAAGGGTGCAAGGAAGAAGCAATGTGAAAAAGCAAAAAAAAAAAAAAATAAATAACATGGTGGGGAATACACTATTGAACTAAACTCCACTAAATTGGCATTTTTGTGAGTCAAAACCCATTGAACACTGGCAATTTCATGGAACTCAGTTTATTAAACTCCATTAGCAGAGGAGATGGACCTCAGGGCTCTTGAATCTCCACTAAACTCAGGGACATTTCTGTTCCTTTCCATCAATATATATGTGTGGCTGACAAGTGACCAAATAAAAGCATCCTGGCTTCCGGAGAAACTGGTGTGTTTATCCACATGTGGGATATTTCAACTCCTGAACATACCCTGGAGTCCAAGGGTTTACCTAGAAAAAAATGAAGTCATCAGAGCTGTGTCTGTTGGTAGGACTATTATAGAAGTAGGAAATATAACTTCTGAAGACTTAGAGGCAGAGAATAATCAGATTTAAAAAAAGTTACTTAACTAAAAGGCCAAAAATAACACAGGGGGAAGGGACAGAGAGAAAAGAAAAAGAATAGTAAATAGAAAAAAGAACATGGCAGACATTAATCCAAACAGAGCTTCATCAGTAAACAGATACATGGATTACGCTAGAAAAGTTCTGATAGGAATAAAGACGTTCTAACCATATAAATGCCAGGTGGAATAGACTTTAAAAGATATTCTGTAAAGACAAGGAAGGTTATCACATAATAAATTAGAAAAATATAAGAAACCAGAGACAGCAAACATCAGCAACATAGCCCCCAAATATTAGGTTGAGCATTATGAAACTGTCAATACTTGATGGGCCTACAAAAGCAGTGATTTCATGTAAAGTAAAAGTAAATAGAATTAGATTCCTCAAAAAATTAACAACAAACTCCCCTATGACCCAGCAATAACACGGCTAGGAATTTACCCAAGGGATATAGGAGTGCTGTGCATAGGGGCCCATGTACCCCAATGTTCATTGCAGCACTCTCCACAATAGCCAAACCATAGAAAGAGCCTAAGTGTTCATCAAATGACGAATGGATCAAGAAGATGTGGTTTATCTATACAATGGAATACTACATGGCAATAACAAAGAATGAAATCTGGCCATGTGTAGCAACATGGATGGAACTTGAGGTTGTTATGCTGAGCGAAATAAGTCAGGCAGAGAAGGACAGATACCATATGTTTGCACATATAGGAGGATTAGGAGGAACTTAACGGAGGACCGTGGGGGAGAAGAAGGGGGGAAATAGTGGGGGAGAGGGAGAGAGGCAAACCATGAGAGACTCTTGAATGCTGAGAACAAACTGAGGGCAGATGGTGTGGGGGGAGGAATGGAGGGAGATGGGCATGGAGGAGGGCACTTGTGGGGATGAGCACTGGGTGTTATGGAAACCAACTTGACAATAAACTATTTTTTTAAAAAAGTAAATAGAATTAGGAAAAATTGAATTTCCTGCAGTATGATTTTAACATTCGTCTGTGACAACTTGATTGATCACGTGATCAAAAGATTGATAATGATGTTGGATGCTTGAATAGCATGATTAAGATACTTTACAAAATGTTTAGAGTTTTATCTCAACTCCTAGACAATCTGTATTCATTTCAAGTTTGCAGGTAATACTTCCAAAAAATGAGCACATGCTAGGCCATAAAGGGCATCTCAAATGATACCAAAGTATTGATAAAGCCTATGGACTCTATTGTCTGACCACAAGACAATAAAATAAGAACTCAATTCTGCCCTCCCCCCACCAAAACAAAAAACAAAGAACAAAAAAAAACAACAGCTAAAACTACCCTCGTATGTTTGGAAACTTAAATAGTGATTCTCAATTCTTTATGGGTCAAAGAGGAAATCCTGACAGAAGTTAGAAATAATGCCAGGCTGGTTTGTCGTGGTCTGATTTTATTCGGTTGCTGTAATTCCATTTCTGGCAATGCTGGGAACACTGATACGGTAGGCAGCGGGAACCAAAAAGCCGGGTTTTTAGTGGGAAAAACTAAAAAGTCTTAAATAGCCTCTTTATTTCACCCATTTGTCCACAGATCTTGTGTCTAGATTTTATTTGATATCTCCTCCATTTTATTCCCTGGGATTCACCTAAGAAGCCCCCCTTTCTCCATGGTTGAAAAGGCCACAGGTGTATCCTCCTGTGTTGAAAACTTCTCAAGTGACCCCAAAGCTGTCATCACCCAAGTCTTTTCTGCCAACTGTGGGGACTGCTGAGAAGACACTCCTGGGAGTATTTACACAGACAACCATATGACATCTCGAAAATACCAGCTGCTTTCACCTCTCGCAAACAAGCTTCCCAAACTGTAACATCACGTCCAGATTAACCCTGGTCCGCCATTTTGCTGAAATAAATTGGCATCTCCCCTGCTCATGGGTGTGGGTAGATCTGACCATCTCTCTTTAGAGTTCCAAGCACATAGATGTACTTGAACAGGCAATTGTTTAGAACAGCACCTGCTTCCAAATCAGGGCAATACCCGTAAGAGCATGGGGATGTCTTTTGCTTCACAGCGCACTTCCCAACCCAAGTAAAACACTTTCTTAAAATGGCACGTGCATTTGAACACAAAGGGGAGAAAACATGCAGAGGTAAGCAGAGCCAGAATCCCTTCCATAGGTCTTTCCGTTTAAACAGGCTTGGGGATTCCATCTACAACCTCCTTACAGGAACATCATAATGTCAACATTCCAAAGGAGGCTGGAGCCCTGGAATCATGGTCTAGGATGCCAGAGAAAGAATGGAGAGGGATCCCCAAGACTTCTGGGATTTTGTACAAGAGCAAAGGCTGAGGAGTAGGAAATCAAGTGTGAAATCCTCTCAACACTGTTGAATCTGGACGCCACCCTAAGAATGTCCCACTTTGCTAATTGGAAGGTGTCCCAAGTAAGCAAAAGCTTGACACCTTGTGACAATGTCAGGTAACCGACTCACCTCTCTCTTCCTTTATGTCACTGGGGATAAGTTCTGGCTCTCAGCAGCACTGGCTTCCTGACACACAGGGTTTAGCCAGTCTGTCATCCAGTATTTTAATAACATGGATAAAGAAACCATTAAGGAAAAAAAAAAGTGAATGTCTTCTCGATAAGGTGGAGGGGATATGGATATTTCTCTGTATTATTTTCCTTGAATGGTATTATAAGAAAAAGTAACAGGGGCGCCTGGGTGGCTTAGTTGGTTAAGCATCCGACTTTCGCTTAGGTCATGATCTCGCGGTTCGTGGGTTCGAGCCCCGCGTCGGGCTCTGTGCTGACGGCCAGCTCAGAGCCTGGAACATGTTTCAGTCTGTGACTCCCTCTCTCTCTGGCCCTCCCCTGCTCACTCTGTCTGTCTCTCTCTCTTTCCTAGAAATAAATAAAACATTTTTTTAAAAAAAGAGAAAGAAAAAGTAACAGTTGTATTAGATTAAATGCATTCACCATCCCTCACGTGACTCAGCGGCTCTGGAGCCAAGGTCCCATGTGAAGGGTCAGTCTTCTGAGGAAGTCAAGGACGGGGCATTAAAATGTACATGGAACATTGAGAGGTGTTGAAAAAATGAAGCTCATTGTGGGTCATTCCTACTCTCTAATTCTGGAGCACCCATTCCTCCTTGATGGCAGAGAGAAAAAAAGGTTGCCAGTCAAGAGTAATTTATTCTACTCCTGTTTGAAACATTTCACTTTGAGGTAAACTCAGCCTCATTTGGGTAAATACTCCACCAATTCAAGGGTGGTTTCTTCCTTCTCTCCAGGGGCCACTGCCCACTCCTCCCTCCAACATGGTATCTGGGTGCAGAGAGCAGCTGACACACCCTTCTGGTGAGGTCCTTGGTGTTCTCAGCTACCAGCTGGACTTGTCCCTAGATGTCCCGGGCTGGTGTTTACTCATGTGTAGCAGATCTCACCATCCTTCGTGGGCGACCTGCTGCTGACGCCTCGGGTCCCTGTGGGTCCCTCAGATCACCAGGTCCAGGTGCTTTGTGGCCTCTCTCTTCCTTGCTCTGACCACAGACCCACACGGGGTCTCTCTCTCTGCACAGGGGCAGAGAGAAAAGAAAAAGAATAGTAAATAGAAAAAAGAACATGGCAGACATTAATCCAAACAGAGCTTCATCAGTAAACAGATACATGGATTACGCTAGAAAAGTTCTGATAGGAATAAAGATGTTCTAACCGTATAAATGTCAGGTGGAATAGACTTTAAAAGATATTCTGTAAAGACAAGGGAAGTTATCACATAATAAATTAGAAAAATATAAGAAACCAGAGACAGCAAACATCAGCAACGTAGCCCCCAAATATTAGGTTGAGCATTATGAAACTGTCAATACTTGATGGGCCTACAAAAGCAGTGATTTCATGTAAAGTAAAAGTAAATAGAATTAGATTCCTCAAAAAATTAGCAATAGAACTCCCCTGTGACCCAGCAATAGCACTGCTAGGAATTTACCCAAGGGATATAGGAGTGCTGGTACATAGGGGCACAGTATAGAGCCCAAATTGGGGCTCAAACTCATGAACTGTGAGATCATGACCTGAGCCCCAGTCCAACTCTTAACCGACTGAGCCACCCAGGTACCCCTGCCTCCTGTTTTTTAATCCAATTTCACCAGTGGGGTGAGGTCAACACACTACAAAGCTTCCAGTTTGCAGACTTTGCTGGATGGTGACAGGAAGACCCCACCCAGCACCCCAACACCCTCCACTCACACCATAATATCTGTCAAAAGCCTTTACCAATAGTGTTTGTTTTCCATCAAACCAACAGCCATTTTGTTAATACGTTTTGTAATAATGGCACGATGGGCTACTTGTGGTTACCAGCACAAGTAGCTAAGAACTTCACCTGTGGCATGTCACCTAAACTCCACAACAACCCTGTGACTTGCATATATCATTACCAATTTTACAGGTGAAAACATTGAGTTGGGAGATATTAGGTCACCAGCCTGAAGTCACAAAACAGAAATCAGCAGAACTAAGGACTAACTCAGGCCTCTCTAACTCCAAAATGTAGGCTTCTTCTTCTAACCAAAGTAGACAGAAGCTTCTTCTTGCACAGCTCTGAGACTGGAGAGACACAAACCAGAAACCCAGGGACAGTCTATTCTTCCAAGTCAGATGCCAGCAAGCCCCCCTCCAGATAATGCATTTTGCATTGCAGGCTGCTCCCCTGCGATCCAAATATTATGCTTCCTGGGATGCCTGGGTGGCTCAGTCAGTTGAGCTTCTGACTTCAGCTCAGGTCATGATCTCGAGGTCCGTGGGTTCCAGCCCCATGTTGGGCTCTGTGCTGGCAGCTCAGAGCCTGGAGCCTGCTTTGGATTCTGTGTCTCCCCCTCTCTCTCTGTTCCTCCCCTGCTTGCACTCTGTTTCTCTCTCTCAGAAATAAATAAACATTTTAAAAAATCAAATATTATGCTTCGTAAAAGCACCATCCAGAAAAGGAAAGGAGACAAGCAAACAGAAAAGGAGATAAGCCAAGTAAAGAGTGGGACAGCGTGTACTCGGAAGTGGGCAGGTTGGTGGAAAAACAAACAGAATCTGCTGAAAATTAATAGGAGGGCAGAGACGCAGCTGAAGAAATGTAGAGTTGCCCTATAAAACAATGAGTTCCGGGGCGCCTGTGTGGCTCAGTCAGTTAAGTGTCCAACTCTTGATTCAGGCTCAGATCACGCTCTCCCGGGTTTGTGAGTTCAAGCCTTACGTCACGCTCTGTGAGGACAGTGCAGAGCCTGCCTGGGATTCTCTCTCTCTCCCTCTCTCTCTGTCCCTCCTCTTGCTTGCACTCTCTCTCTATCAAAGTAAACAAATAAACATCTTTATAAATGAGTTCCACACACTGAAACTCAAAGGACACTATTTAATATTGTAGATCGTGTCATCCCCTAGGCATGCCTTCAAAGCTCCAAGTCCTTCTTTCTCTCTATGTCATGAATCTCATTCTCCTTTCTGGCTGTTTCCACCACCCTTCTCAGCACAGGCAGCTCTTGTTCTCCCCTCGCCCACTCCTCCCCTAGCTTTTTTATTCCAGTACAGAAATAAAGTCTGATCCAAGGAGAAGTTGCAGAGGAGAAAACCCGTGGTTGTGTATTTCCATGAGCTTCACCGCTCGCTGGATTTATTGTCGACTCTTAAGTTGTCTCTGATCTGCCCAACTTGAGTTGTCTCGAGCTCCACTACCCATTCTTCCAAACGTTTCATTACTTCTAAAGTTATAATGATAAATGATAAACCTTACCCTCTCTTCTTTTGTTGTTGTTATTTATTTATTTATTTTTGAGGGAGAGAGAGCACAAGCAGGGGAGGGGCAGAGAGAGAGAGAGAGAGCTAGCAAGAATCCCAAGCAGGCTCAGCGCCGTCAGCTCAGAGCCTGACACAGGGCTTGAACCCACAAACGATGAGATCATGACCCGAGCTGAAACCAAGAGTCGGACGCTTAACCAACTGAGCCACCCAGGCTCTGGCGCCCCAAACTTTACCCTTTTCAGAAGCCTCATTGCCAAGAGGCTTCTTCATTTCTACCTAAAGCTGAGAAATAGGTCTCCCCCCCGCCCGCCCCACTTCATACGTTCACAACCAAATTTCCAGTCCTCACCTTCCACAAAACAGCTGTCGCTCCCCCAGGACCACCCTTCTCTGTAAGTGGCACCCACATCCACCTGTTGCTCAGGTCAGATCAGAGTCGGGTCTCTGAGTCTTCCTTTCCCTTGTCGCCTCCAGCCAGGGGGGCTTGTCAAGCCCACCCCCAAAACCTCTCCATCCCATCTTCCTCTCCCCACCTCCAACAACACACTGCTCACCACAGCTGATGCAGCATCTCCCATCCAGCCTCACCCCTCCCCTCTCCCCCCTCCCCTCTCTTCTGCACAGATTTGCCAGCCTAATCCTCCCAAAATGCAAATCCATGCCTGGCATTTTCTCCTGGCTTTCTGGTTGCTTCTGGAATAAAATCTAAAACCCTGAACAACTTCCCACGGGGCTTTGCCTGACCGTCTCTGGCCTCTCTCCAACTGCATCTCACGCCACTTTCCCTCTCTGTCCTCTCCAGCCATGCTGGCTTGCTTCTTCTTCCTCAAATAGTCCAAGTCCTGGGCTGCCTCAAAGCCTTTATGGTTACCATTGCCGCTGCCTGGCTGCTCATCCCCTAAGTTCTCTTTGAATGGCTTCTTCTTTCATGTCTCAACTCCTAACTTTTTTGCCCAAAGAGCCATTTTGGACCACCTGATCCAAAGGGTTGTCCTCGACAGTTACTGGCTCCCTTGTTTACTTCCCTTCTGGCACCTTCCACAAACCACAATTACTTCACTTATATATTTACTTACTGACTATCTTGTTTCCGCTCTACTTCTAAGGTAGAATTTGGGACCTTGTGCGGGAAGAAAACACCAAAAAAAAAAGCCAATAAAAAAAAACCCCATAGGTGTTGAATGAATGGAACCCACAGACAATCTCCCACCATTTCGATAAAGCAGAGTCGAAGTGAAGAAAGAGATACCACCGCCTCTGTGAGGAAGCAAACATCCAGTTAAACTTATAAAAACATGCTCTTAAGCATAAGTTAAAATCCCAAAAGACATTTTTCTAACCGGCTATTTGGAGCTGTGGAATGAGATGCAAAGATAATAAACACATCTGATATGAAACAGATGGAAATCTGGTCACTGGTTCCTTGACGTAGAGCCCTTTAAAAAGTATTCTCTTCTTAAGTGCCAGAAGTCATGGAGGGCATCCCCAGCACCCCCACCACCACTCCAGTCACCGAGGACAAGGCAAGGCTTAATTGAGTTCTGTAGACCCACCATCATTTGCATATCTGCCTGGGTCTGGTCAAAGGGAAGGCACAGCTACAACTTTATAAACAAGCACCTCAGAGCGAGTGAGGCACATGAGGGTTCTTGAATAGGACACTAGAGATAGGTCCAATAAAATATTTATGGAGTGTAGATTTCCTTAATGTGCCAAAATATACCTTGCGGTTGTCAGTATACATGTTACAACTTGCTAGAAAAGTCGGAGGTATCTAGTGATCAGCCCCTGAGCAGATGTTCTTTCAAGCCTAAGAATTTGGTTTTCCTACAAAACTGCCCAGCTATTTGCAGCTATGCGGCACACCACGCGCTTAGATCTTTTAGGAGCAGCAAGAGAACCATCCCAAGTGAATGGGAGCTTCAGGAACTGCAATTCCAGAAGCCAAGTGTAGACTCATAAAGGAAAAATGATGCACCTTTTTAAAATATGGATGGCAGGGAGAGTATTTAGGTTTCTGTCCAATATCAGCGAGGCTAGTGCAATGACGGGCGCTAACGTGAGGCTCCAAGTGCAGACACTGTTGCTTCTAATTCTTTAACCTTTGTCTTCTAATGGTCACCTCTAGCAGGCGGGCTTTCAGATTAAATTATGTTGGCTTTCAGGGGAAAAAAATTAAACCCACATAGAGATGTTGCCACGTAGCACTAACCACAAAATGCCAAAGCAAAACCCATGCTCTGCTTTCTGAGACCTTCCTGTAATGGGACCTTTCCAGACGAGGCTCAGTGAGAACCCTCATGGGTACACCCCCTCGACTTTCTGCTCCTAATGGACTTTGGTCATCACTGTGGATCTGAGCTTGATTATACACGCCCCTCCCACCCTGATATTCCCTTGCACACAATATTTTGGGTCTACTGTCTCTTGTTCTTCTCTATCTTTACCCAATACTTTGTCATCTCTCCATCCTCTATCCATCCAGCCACCCATCCAATAGAGACTGAGGATCTGCCTCATGCTAGATCTAGCACTATGTGCTGGAGAGCCATTAGGGAACAAGGCAGAGTCTATGACTTCATTGAACATAAAGTCTAACAGCGGAGGTAGGTATGAAACGGACCATTTATTTAATAATTGGTCATTACTAATGGAGGTGCTTGACAGATGCCATGGACCAGAGGGAGGGCAGGTCTGCATCTAAGATGAGAACTGGGGGGTGTCCCAGACAGCCCCGTAGAAGAAGTAATGAGTAGGCGCTCCCCCAGGAAGATGGGAGCGTGAGGAAGGGAAGGAGGAGAAGGGTTACATTCCAGACAGAAGGAGAGAGACAAGCCAATTCCAGAGGCCTGAGAGCCAGAAGCATTTCCAGGGTGCTGGGCTGGCTCTCCTGTTGAAAGTGAACTGGGCAGGAGGTTGGGTGGTGGTGGTGGTGGATGGGGTGGGGGTGGGGGAACAGAAGATGGAGAAGGGAACAGGGTCAGGTCGGGAAGGAGCTTGTGTGTCTTGTCCAGTGGGGGGACCTGGATACTCGAACATCAATGAAAAACTGTTTCCTATGTCCCCCAACAAACACAAAAAATTGATATAATGGGAAATGGAGGGAAAAAAAGAAACAGAAAACACAGTTTGATGTGCAGTGTGTTCATCATACCCTCTAAAAAGGAAATCACTATGGTGACAGACAGTAGCTACCCTTGTGAACGCGGCATAAAGTGTAGAGAAGTCGAATCACTACACTGTACTTCTGAAACGAAGGTAAGTAACATCGTGTCTCAACGATACATTTTAAAAATTAGTAAAAAAAAAAAAGAATATTGCTTGATATTAGAAAAAGAACACCAGATGTTCTAGATGTTTCCTGAGACCTCCCAAATCTCATCCCTGTAAGAACTGTTTTCTTTGTAATGTGTGTGTGTGTGTGTGTGTGTGTGTGTGTGTGTGTAAATCTCTAGTGCTACCCCTGAAAGAATGTGCACACCTGTTCTCCATTTTTCCCACTGCTTGGGGGATAGTCTCACTCCACTCGTATTACTCCTCTAAAGCCAAAACGCAAGGAGAAGCTGACGGCGTCACTTTCTCTTCTTCCCAGACTAAATGACTTTTCATCCAGTTGGAAGTTCGGGTTCCACAACTTCCTCTTAGGGCCTCCCATCTGGGGGCCGAGCCCCTCAGAACCTCACTCCTGATGGTGGTTTTCTTTATGCTCAGAGTTCCCCACGAGAGGAAGAAGGAGAACAGGAAGCTAGCGGACCTGCCAGCAGACCAGCCCCTATCCGATGAGCAGACGCTGCAGAGGGGAGAAGGTGCCCGGATCGCAAAGAACAAAGCCAGAGCCACAGCACATGACGGGGCTACCAAGGAAGGCCCGTCTCTCGGCCAGACAGGACCGCGGAACGACGCCAAGGGTAAGGCCAGCCCGTGGCCACAGGCCCAGTCCCCGTGTGTTCTACAGACACCCTTTCGGGTTTAAACGGTGGGGTCCCGGAGCGGGGGCTTCTTAGGCAAGAGTGGGGCTTCCGGGGTAGGAACCAGGTCGCGGCTGCAAACAGCATCCGCAGAGCTCTGGTATCCATGACTGACCTTCTGCTCAAAAGCCCTGATTCCCACCCGTAGCTGTGATCTGGGGCTGGGCTGAAGGGGCGCAGCAATTGTAATCAAAGGCCGCATGCACCGGTGGGTGGCCACATTCTGTGTTGTGGGTCCCAGGGTCCCAGTCTCACCTTCTCAGTGACAGGACCTGATATTTGAGAGGAGACGCAGAGCACACCATCTCCAAGGGACGGCATTGCTCTGGCCAAGGGACGGCAGCCCCCTTCCCGTTCATCTGTCGCCTTTACTTCTGCTGAGTTGGGCTCTCCCACGCTGAGCTGCTTCGACACCCAGCAAATACAGTCCTGAGCCCCCGACACTGGCCAACGCCCTTCGAGGATGAGGAACGCACCACTCCGTGTCAGTGGTTGGCATCTTCAGAGCATAACGCAGCGGCCGCGGTGCTGATCCATGCAGGGAATGGCAGCGAAACCCACAGGAAGCATGGCTCCCTGATTCTCTTTTTGTAAATTCTTCCCCCCCGCCCCGTCCCTTCTCCCCCGCCTCACCTGTCTGTTACCCAAGGAGTGATTTGTCCTTGACTGTGGCCCTCAAGCTCTCATTTACTAACACTGAGTTACATATATGGAGTAGCCCGCACTGTCTGCGCCCAGGGACCTGGGGGAAGGCACCGGGCGAGTCATCTTTCCATCTGCAACTCTCTCTCAAGCTAAAGAAATCAAACCTCTTGCAAATACATCTCCATGGCATTTCTGCCAAGCCCGCCTCACTGACAGAGGAAGGAAATGCAAGGAGGGGGTATTTTTAAGGTGAAAAGTTATCTTTAAGCCTCATTTGCTAATTGGAAGATGCAACCTTTTCTGATCATTAATACAGAGCAATCACTCACTCCGCATGCTCAACAGAGTGACAAATTACAGTTGCCATGAGGGGATACATAAATTCTCCTAATTACCTCCAGACACCTATCCACGCGGAATCAGAAAGGCTTTACTTATGCAGGCATGGCTCTTTTTTTTTTTTTTTTTTTTTTGAAAATCATAGTTTCGCTTCCCTAAAAGTCTTCTTGGTTTGAGTCCCAATGAACTCAATTCGGGACCAATGAAAACTGTGACAGCTGAGGCAGATAAGAGGGAGCCTGGAAATTTTTTCTTTCTTTCTTTCTTTCTTTCTTTTTTTTTTTTTTTTTGCAAAGCTTGGTCTTTCTTCCCCAGGACTGAAACTAGCAATTAAGGAGAATTGTAGGGTAAGGAAAGAGAAGAGATGTAGCAAAAGTAGGAGAGAGAGGGGAGACCCTTTATTTGGGGATAAAGGCCTCAGCCTTGAAGTCAAGCAAGTGCAAAATCTTCATGGCAGGCACAGTTGAGAATGAACTGTCAAGTTCAAAGGCGTGTAGGAGAAGCCTCTGGCCTCCTCCCGTCTCCGAGCTCAGATGCTTGCTGAGGGCATGCACAGAAAGCCCAGGGCTTTTCCAGATACTTCCATACAGCAGTACTAATATTCCCTCACACTTCCCACCCTCCCTATTTCTATTCCCTTCCAATGCTGTCGGGGGCTCAGAGGCCCCTTTGCTTTTTGACCTTAGTTTCCCACACAGCAGCCGTTCATACGAAGTCAGCTAAGCGACAAGAACTTCAGGGAGTGCCTAGGAGACAAAAATGGATTCTTTCACTCCGTGCATCTTTGTTGAGCTCCTGCTCTGGAGCGGGCTCCGTTCCAGCGCTGAAAATACCACGGTGAATAAAACCGATAGAGATCATCAAAGGCACAAATGCAGCACGTGCATTAAGGGGCCTCATTCCAAGCTGTAGCTCATCTCCCCCCTTACAGAGCAATGTGGGCAGAGGGTGAATCGAGCCGCACACACACCCGCTCACAGTCCCGTCTGGGCCAAATCAGTGCCCTCGGGAGCAGGCCAGCGCTTTGGCTCCCTGAGAAAGCAGTGCATCTGGAAGCTTCAGAAACATTTATCTGGGGAGCCTGGAGTTCGGATACCGTAGGCTGCAGCCGCGTGAGCCCTTCTGTTTCTGATTTTCTTCCCACTTGAAAGTCACTGGGCTTGTCTTCCATGTGGGGGTTTGTGCCCACTTCTGACCCCAAAGGGCTCAGGAAATTACAAAGCAAGTTTTCCAACAGATGCTTTGAGCAGCGTCAGACAGTCCCACACAGACAGGCTCTCACACCCTCTTGCAGGCCAGACGGGTGAAGAAGTAAAATAGGCCTGAGGACCTAGTCCTGAAGCCACAGGAGGTCTGCAAGGTGGGGGAACCTGAGGAAACACCCAGAGGTGTAGGATGTAAAGATCAACAGTGGTGTGTGTGTGTGTGTGTGTGTGTGTGCATGCGCGTGTGTGTGCGCGCGCACGCGTGCATGAACAAGGCAGAGGGAGAGGGACAGAGAGAGGGAGGGAGGGAGATTCACAAATGTTTAAGAAATGGGCAAACAGCCTCCCTTGGAAATGTGTGGTTTGCACAGCAATTTTTGGAATTTCGGGGCAGCGAGTAGCTGGGGTAACTGAATCCCAGGAATCCGCAGCCGCTCTCCAGTCAGAAAGCCATGTGTTGTATGAAATCTGAACCACAGCCCTAGCCCGTGACCGCCTCCGCTCCATGAGGGAGGGGGGGGGGAATCTGGGGAGATTTGGAAGATTGTAGATCAAAAGGAGAGTTTGCTGCAATTTGTCAGAGTCAGGAAAACACAGCGCTCAGCCCAGTATTGGGTAACACACATCCTGTCTAAACACGCTTGCACCAAGCCTTGATGGTTTAGCAGAGGACAACTTGGTTTTCTGTGAAAGCGACAGAGGACTGGGAAGGAAAGGAGGGAAGACAGAGCAAAGACTCGGAGACAAAGAAAGGGCCACCACTACAGGCCAAGCGGCTTTGGCAAGTCGCCCCAGATTTGGATGCTTTGGTTTTGCCTTGAGCCAAACGGAGCTCATCATGCTCAGAGCCTCCAAGGATCACCAAGGTGGGAGAGACCTTCAAGGTCGTATAGTCTGACCGCTAAGAGACTGACGCATAATAGACGCTAAGTGACTCCTTAGTTCGTCAGTGAAGTCACTGAATGAGGAGCAAACGCGTGAACACAGAGACCCGTGCCCAGTGTCCCCGAAAGCAACAGTTCAGTCCAAAATGCCAGCAGTGACGTGACCATCTATTGAGAGGGTCCACCCTGTCTTTGGCAGCTGTGACTGTCAGCATTGTAAGCAAATCTAAATCCAAATCCAGAACTGCCTTCCGGAAGCTTCCATCGCTCATTCCAAGTCCAACCACTGGGGCCGTGGTGGGGTGGAGGGGGGGAATGGGTTTGATCACTTCCGCTGGGCAGTCTTTTAGAGAGGTGACAATTACTGCCATGGCCACCATTGGGTTCTTCAGTCAAAGTATCCCACCTCCTTCGGCCACATCCCAAACAACAGGGAGAGTTTTAGGGTTTTAATTCTTGCACCATCGTCGTCGTCACGGTCTTGTGATTGAGCTACAGTCTGTCTGGGTGCTCCTGAGCCAAATTCAGTGATTCAGCTGTGATTGGACCAGGAAGGGAAAAGGGGGCCTGTCCCCTTCCCGGTCTAGACCCGGTGCCTGTTGATGCAGGCGACTGCCTCACTGGCGTACACAGTAGCTCCGCCCACTCATCACACCCCAAACCTCAATGTACTTTTTAGATCCCAGACAGACGCCCCGTGAAGGGTTACTCAAAAACAGAGCAACTCCTTCTTGGGTCCTCCGTGCCTCAGACCGAATTAAACACATCAGGGCCCGTGAGTGATTCATTATTGTGGCTAAATTCTATTTCAACAGCCCTACTCCCCATCCAACACCGTTATCCATTATACATTCCTCCCATGCCTCCGGCATCCTTGAGTCCCCCCTCTCACTGATTATAACTCTAGAAAAAGATCCTTAAATTATAATAAAGATGTTGAATTATTCCTTCCACATGTTGACACTGGACAGCCGGCCAAGTGTTTTTCAAATGCTTGGGGAGCATGCTTTATTTTTTATATTTTTATATCAAACAGAATTGCATTTGCCCTGAAGGCATAAAAAGAAAAAATTTGCACCAACAGAATGAGGAGTGTGTTTCCCCCATATGACAAGATGTCCAGAGAAAGGCAGTGCAGGACTGTAGGGACTCCGTGATGGCATCAGAGACCCGAGCCATTCATAATCTACATCTCCTTATCCTCATGTTCACAAAATGGCTGCTCACCTCCGTGCATCACATCCACAAGCCAGAAAGAAAGAAGACCGATTAGTGAAGAGAAAAGAGAAAGAAATGTTCAAGTTGACTAGAACACAGTAACTTTCCAAGACATCCCTTCTCCACCAACAGACTTTTACACAAACACACACACACACACACACACACAACCCCTGGAAAACCTGGATTAAAATGCACATTACTACTAGAAGTAAAGATTAGCTTTTCTTTAAGGAAGGGAAACTAATAATCTTGATGATCTAAACTCAGAAAAGTAGGTCTGCATCCTCTCAACAGGAGCAAACCAGATGGGCGTCACCACGTGACCATGGCCATGGCTTTTGTTTTTTTCTTGAGGTCTCTTTGATGTTCGGTAAATTGGCTTTTGTGCTTCGGGTCCTGATTAAAAGCGCCTTCTTCATCCCTTCTCCTGTGCATGACTTACAAATGCGTCTACTTGTGGGGATGGCTTGGAGGGCAAGACTGAAGACACCCTTTCCATGCCTGTGGCTCTGATCCTACCATGTGTCATAGGCTGACACCTGCTGCTGCTTTTTAAAGCCTATTTTTTAATGTTTATTTATTTTTGAGACAGAGAAAGACAGAGCGTGAGCAGGGGAGGATCAGAGAGAGAGGGAGACACAGAATCCAAAGCAGGCTCCAGGCTCTGAGCTGTCAGTACAGAGCCCGACACGGGGCTTGAACCCACGAACTGTGAGATCATGACCTGAGCTGAAGTCAGACACTTAACCAACTGAGCCACCCAGTCACCCGACAGCTGCTGCTTCTGACCGCACTTTGTTTCACAAAACAGGAGGCTTCAGCGTTAGCTTGGTTTTGTCCGATTTATAGTTTACAGAAAATCAGTGAGCTAATGCAGATGAGCCTTATTTCGCAAACTGACGGCAATGTCATGGGTAAATAGCAAGGGGTCAGAAATGATGGGGTTCCCCTGGCGGCTCCACCGTTCCTAACGTGTGACCTTGGCCAAGTCCTATAACTTCTCTGCACTGTTATTCCTTCACTAGTGTATACGTGTTCTAGTGCCGTGTAACAAATTACTACAAATTTAGCAGCTGAAAACAATGCCCAGCTTAGCTGGGTCCTCTGCTCAGTGTCTTATCTGAGGCTCATCTGAGGCTCATTGCCAGAGTCCATCTGCTTGCAACTTTAGAAATCATGGTGTCTGGCTTCTGTATGGCCAGCATGACTTGAGTCTCAAGTCCCTTGAACTTCTTTGAAAGGGCTCACCTGATTAGGTCAGGCCCACCCAAGAGAAATTTCCTTTTCATTAATATAGCCTTAGCTGTTCAGGAACCTAATTACATATGCAAAAATCGCTTCATCTTTGCCACAATGTAACATAATCAAAAGTTATATCTTTTCATATTCACGGGTCCTGCGCCCACTCAAGGGAAGGGCACACATTAATAGGGGCAGAATCTCAGGCCTGCTTAGAAGTCTGCCTACCACACCCTATAAAATGAAGATACAGATATGACCTATCTTATACAGTTGCTTTGAAGTTGTAATGAGATGGTGAATACAACAGGAAGCATCCGGTAAGCAGCAACTGCTGTAATTACTCTAGCATTTCTGAGCATCTATTACATAGCAGGCCCCACACTAGGAGCTGTGGATTCAGGAAATAATAACGTGAAGCCTGGTCCAAAAAAAAAATCATGGCATTTCTCTAACACTTCCCACCCTTGGTTTGGACCCCAATGGTTTTTAACCTCAGCTTCGCGTGGTTGAATCCCCTAGATGGCTTTTCCCAGGGTCCCACCCGCCAAAACGCAGGAGCATTTGGCCTGGGGTGCACCCTTGCTTTGGAATTTTTTTTAAAGCCCCCCCAGAACACCCCAACACACCGCCAGCCCAAGTCTGATTGTTTCCCAGGGTCTGAAAGCCAAAATCCCCTTAGGAGAAACTACCGAGGACCAGACAAACCAGACACATGAGCAGCGATAAAGCATTCTTCCTTTTACTTGGAGCAAACATTGAAATTTAAGACATTTCACACCTTTTCAAGGGGAGTCTCCCAGGCCCTGACTGCTGGTCCTTTTAGCGGACAGCCCACCTCTGGGTGATCCCAGCGCATCTGGGATCACGCTGAGCACAGAAGAAGTTGCCCATGTAGCCAAAAAAGCTGCTGGTGCTCAGCCTGTCTTCCTCATGCTCAATACTCTGTTACCTGCATATATGGAGCACCTACTATATGTCCAGCTTCAGGCTAGGTGCTGGGACCTCAAAGACCAAAAAGTCTGCCTTCCAGAGTGCAGAGTCTAATGCCAAGATGCAAAGATAGCCCTTCTTGTACCAGACGAGAAGTGCTTTCTGGATTGAGGGCATGGAGCTGGGTTTTATCTTGTAAATAATCTTTTTAAAACCTTCTCCATTTTCTAAGACTATGTGTATCTCTCTCCAGGGTTTAATCACTGCGAAGAGCAGTCTCTTTCTGACTTCCCTTGTATCTCCCTGGCAGCCATTCTCCCCACCCCCAGCCCCCCAAAAATTATTATCAAGGAGAGGAACATAAAAACCGCCAAAATGTCATAATTGTTCTGTAAGAAAAATAGAGCAACGTGAAACCCCATTCTCCTCTTCTCCCATCCCTTCTAACCCTCCAGAGTTTGTCTCCAGTGTGCAGGGGTGTGCCCCACAACCCAGGAGGGCATCCTGAGTTGAACTGATCCTGCTGAACGGATCGCCAGTGCAGCAGAAAGCAGACTCTTATTGACTGAGGCGGCTTTGGCAAAGCCCAGGGACACTGGATTCCTCTTTTGAGATAACACTGAGCCCGCGCAGCCATCCGAGACAGAGCAATGTGTGGCCTGGTGTTGTAAAATTGGGGCTGGATTTGCTTCGCCGGGGTCTGGAGGGGAATGGTCCCTGCCCCCACCCCCCCACCAGAATAACATATGCTCCTACAGAGACCTGAGAGGGAGGTCAGCTGGCATCAGTGTCCTTCAAAACCCCATCCCCCTTATAAACACTCACTGAGAATTTACCATGTGCAAGGCCCTTGGCGAGGCGAGGAGAGCCCACCACCACCCTCCTTCTCCCAATGAAAGTGGTTAAAATATCACAACTTTGCTGTGGTCCTGATTCAGGATTCCAGCAGACCCCAGAAAAGATCATTCTGAGTTATGTTTTTATACCTGCTCCGGCGTCCTGGGGAAATTGCTAGGTCAAGCTTGCTTCATTCTCTATTTTTAAATTCTGTTGGAAGAGCCAGGCTTCCCCCCAGGCTGCTGAAAGCTTTCAGGAACTGCCTGAGCCGGCGCCACCCAGACCCAGGTCTCCACGGCTGTCCACACATTGGCTCCTACAATCCAGAGAAAGAGAAACAAACCTAAGACCACGGCAGGCTCGGTTGCAGAAAATGTCCAGAAAAACCTACAGATGGAGTCTTGTCTTTATTTATGCCTCTGGTGCATGTTGAGGGGGGAGGGGATAAACATCTCCTTCCAACATCCGGAAGTGAGGTTACACGGAGGTAGAATTGCTTCCCACGCCTCAGTTGCCAGTGCGAAAATTAGTGATTAAGGGTCAAGATGATGAGCTCACTTACTCTACACCTTGGGAGGCTTATATTTCTAAGTGAGCCTTGTCTCCCTGAGTTGGCTTAAATGTGGCCACACTTAAAGGCTAGGATATGAACTGGTTGGCTTCAAAGCCCCTTGGAGCCCTGGAATCTGTCACAGAGTCAGGCCAGCCAGCCCAGGCCCGGTTTGCTGAAGGCTTGGTCATGGGCCAGATGTCTGTCTTGTGTCAGGATTTTGAAATCGCTGAGAAGACTTCAGAATCCTCATTTCTATTTTGGAAATTGGTGCTTGTCTGCTTGCAGTAGGGGTATCTTGAAGCATTCGCTAATGCAGGGGTTGGCAAATGACGACCCATTAGGCCAAATTTGTCCTGCCATCTGTTTTGTGTGACTAGCAAATTAAGGATGGTTTTGCCATTTTTAAGTGGTTGGAAAAGAGAAATAGGGAGAGTAATATTTTGTGATGCATGAAAATGATCTGAAAAGTTTTACTGAGCTATAGCCACACCTACTTATTTACTTGTTACTATGGCTACTTTTTTTTAAGTTTATTTTGTGAGCGAGACAGAGACAGAGAGAGAATTCTACGCAGGTTTCACACTGTCAGTGCAGACCCTGACGCAGGACTTGAACTCACGAACAGTGAGATCATGACCTGAGTTGAAACTAAGAGTCAGATGCTTAACTGACTGAGCCCTCCAGGCACCCTGGGCTACTTTTGAGCAGCAACAGGCACATTGTATAGTTGCAACAGAGATTATATGGCCCAGAAAGCCTAACATAATTACTATCTGGCCCTTCCAGAGAAAATTTGCTGACTTCTATACCAACATAAAAAAATAATTCTTGGGTGCACCTGGGTGGCTCAGCAGTTGAGCGTCTCACTTCAGTTCAGGTCATGATCTCGCAATTTGTGAGTTCAAGCCCCACATCGAGCTCTGTGCTGACAGCTCAGAGGCTGGAGCCTGCTTCAGATTCTGTGTCTCCCTCTCTCTCTGTGCCTCCCCTGCTCATGCTCTGTCTCTCAAAAATGAATTAATGTTAAAAAAAATAATAAATTCTGCACAAATACAAAAAAGTGAGAGGGTCGCATAATCCAATCTTTAATTAACCTAATTAAATACCCATCTTGGAGCCTATGATGCTCTGTTCTACTCTGTTAAACCAGCAGAACAATAATTAACTCAACTCATGTGGCATCAGCAAAACAGCGCAATGATGCGCCCGCAAAGAGACTCACCCACCATGCTTACCACATTCCAGAAAGCCAGTCAGAGCATCATACAGGTTCAGTGTGTCTCCCAACCAGAGTGCTTTCATTCTTGGCTCTGGGTTGAGGGTCTGCTTCCTTCTCTGTGGCGAGAACCTCCCTGGCTAATCTGTGGGTCAGGGTCAAACACAGAGACATTAATCCTGGTGGAGACGGGGAAGGGGCCAGCACTGTGCACAGATCTTACAAGACAGCATCTCTCTCCTCCCCTCCTTGTAACAGACTGGAAGCTGCCGATCCCCCTGGGATCTGTTTACCCACCATCAGTCTCGAGTCTGAGCACCACCAAAGCTGTGGGCTGAAGCTGGGATTTGCCTCCTCCCATAGCAAAGAGCTTACGAATATGTGACGTAAGTCTTCCAAGGGTCCCCTTTCTTCCTTGGTGAGAGGAATGCCCACACAGGGATGAGCTGAGCAGACGAGGCCCTGATGAACACAAGAGTAAGTGGTTTCTATGCCCTGCCATCCCCTCCCAACCCCCCTCACCTCTGCCACCGTGTAAGACCAGCACAGGGAGAGAAACGAAGCCCTGAACAGGTCACAACGCATTATAACCTCATCAGGACTCCCCAAAGGGACAAAACAAGAAATCCTCAAAATTGGACAGTTTTCCAACGCTCCGAATGGTCTTTTCCACCCCAGGGCCCATCCGTTCCTCCTCCTGGCCCTGAATACTGCACATCCCCTAGAACCTTACCTTGTGGTTAACAGGTCCATGGTGCTTTGTGAGAGAGGCGTGTTTGAGAAGTTCGGTGGTCATCTAGGTCTGTTGTCTTAAGACCCGGAAACGGCCTTCTTCCAAACTTGACTGCTTGCTCACGTGACAAACTTCCGTCGAGCGCTTACTGCGGGACACGTAATCGTGTAGATGGACAGTCGTGCGGATGGATGAAACAGAGACCCTGTTCTCATGGATCTTAGCGCCTGGTTGGGACACGGTCAGGGGGAGAGACACGCACAGGAAGTCAAGTGGGGGACACAGACCCTTGGGGTACATGGTATGGAAGCCCAGAGGAGGACTTTACTGCAGCTGAGGGGGTGGGGCTTAACTCTGGTGGAGGTGCATTGTCCTGAAAGCCAACACCGGAGCCTGAGAGGTGGATTAGAGTGCAGGGGGAGGGGAAGACACCCAGGCAGAAACTCAGGCACAGGCTCACTGTGCTGTCTATGTGATGATGGAGCTGGTGAGGCTGGCTCTCCCGGAGAAAAGCAACGTGACAAGTCAGGGACAGGACGAGGTCAAAGAGCCTGGGCTGGAAGCCTATCATGGTGCATTGGAGATGCACTCTGCCCTCAGGCGGTTCTGGCCCAGTCCCCAGGGCTCAGGGCGGCCCGGGTCCATCTAAGCTCCGGTGGCTTCAAGCCATCTTTCTTCAAGGTGGGCTCTGAAAACCACCTTCCTCGGATCAGAGTCACCCCCACCCCGAAGCTACACAGTGACTTTATGCTTGATGCAAGAGAAGGTGACAGAGGGACCTCAGGAAAGCCCTCTCACCTGGCTGGTTCTCAGTTTCCCCATCCAGGAAGTGGGATGTTTGATTTCTGGAATCCTTAGTGGCCTCTGGTTTTTGTCAGCCGCTCCGCCCGCCCCCAGAGCTGCAATCTTCTGGATCCTTACAGTTGATACTGGAAGAAATAAAACAACATGTGGCTTTGTTTCCTGCTGCGTGGGGGGCAGGAAATGGCCTAAGGCCCCTAATTGGGATGAGGTTCCTGCCATGTGTCCAGCTGCCCACTCCTCAGCAACCTCCGCCCTGGCAGGTGCTGTCAACCAGAAAGGAGGGCACTTTTGGCCATCAGCAGCCGGAACCCATCCACTCCCATGTGGCCAGCTACATGCCTGCCTCCGTGGGCATGAAAGACTCATGATGTAGATGGCGTCTGTGTTTGCTGAGCCTCCTCTGCAAACAGGGAGGGCAGGGTGTGCCTGGGGCGGCCCCGTGGCCAGCACCTAGGCTGGGCGCCACTCTGCCACTGGCCACACATGGGCAGAGCAAGAGAAGGTACCAGCCACTTGGAGAAACTGATGTACAGGTGGAATGTGACACTCTGTGGTCGGTCCAGAGGCGAGGGCACGAGAGGGAACTGGGGAAGGTGGGGTGGTGGGGAACCCAGAAAACCGAGTGAGAGTGAGCATCACAGCGGTCAGGAGGTGGGCCTGGCACTGCCACAGCGGCGGGCACCCAGCAGGACACCCTCCCAGAGAGAGCTGGGTCTGGGCAGCGGGCGCCATGAAAGGGAACTCTCTGGCTTGGGAAACCTACCACGTACCTTTGGCCGTGTCTCTCCCAATGCAATGCAAGCAGGGCTCCTTTGCTCCTCGGTTTCTAATAGAAGCGAGATGAGAATCACAAGACAGGACCCTCTGGCACACATGACACCCTGGATCTTGCCTGTTGCCTCCAGGAAGGATGGCCTTCAACTCAAGGCATGCTTGACTCTCCAGTTTCATACCCACCATGCCATTTCAAGGCTGGAAAAGGACCTTGTAAATAATCCACCTTACCGGTGGATGGTGAGTCAAGGTCCTACAGTGAGTGGCAAGCTCCTAAGGAGAGCTCAGTGCCCTGATCCTCAATCGAGTGTGCCAGGTTGCCAGCAACAAAGGGAAGGGATGGCCCTTTTATCTGCCTTCCAAGGCCACAGAAAATTAAGAGAGGTAAATGGAAGTCCAGCTAATAAGTGAGAGGCATGAACAAGGGCTACCTGTTTTTCAAAGTGTACTTTGTCTTGGGGTGAGCCCCTGGTGCTTGGTCAACACACGTTTGCGCAGCGCCTCACGGCAGGTGCATGTGGCCCGTCTCCCCCGCAGGGCCCCTTCCAGCACTCCATGGACATGAAGGCAGAGAAGAGACTGGCCAGCCGGAAGGAGCGTCGTAGCAACTTTGGAGATGTCAGCACGCACAAGTGCTATCAGCTTGGGCAGATCTTCAGCCCTTTCCAGGCCCTCAGCACCACGGTGAGTCAACTTCTCCTTGAAAAAGGTGTTTTTTCCAAGTCTTTTAGTGAGAACTGCAACACACCCCCAATTCTTTCACTTTTTAAGAAATGCATTAGTCGGTTCTGGCCACAAAAATGCTGCATAACAAGCTACTCTAAAATTTGCCAGCTTTCACCATTACAACCATCTCCGTTTCTCACCTGCTAGCCTGCAGAGAAATTGACTCATTCCTCTTCTGTCGACTGCAAGTTCTCAGGGTAGGCGGGAGTTAATTCCTGAGAATGAGGATCCCATCTACCACAAGAGATGAAGTGTAGCCTACCTGAAGGTCGGTTAGCTTTAGGGGGAGATCTGAAGGCAAATGGTTGAAGCCGTGGTGTTCTGAAATAAGACCATTTCAAGAGGAGAGGGAGGGCAGGGGAAAGGGGAAGTTTCTGGGATAAAGGAAGAAGGTTCCGGCTCCAGTTCCTCTACCTCACCTGTGACTTTCTGGATTCCAGTCAATTCAAGTGGGACCATTCCCAAGTGCATTTCCATAAAACCATTACTGTGCTGTCTTTCTGATACTTTCTAGACATAGCTTCTTATGATTCTAAAATTTGAGTGTGCATATGAATCACTTGGGAAGCCTGATTATAAGACCTCCAGGCTTATAGGGATTTCAATTCAGAGGATTTGGGTGGGGCTTGGAATGTCCTTCCTTAACAAATTCTCTGCTCACCACCTTTATGCATCACCACTGGGGCACTCGTTCCAAACCTCGTTCATATCAGCAGCAGCCCTGGGTCTGGAGGGAGCCGGTATGGACCACCACCTGTAGCCCAACCCAGCTCAGCAGTGTGCACTGCAACCCAGCGCTGGAACTTTCTGCTCCTCGGGAGCTTGCATTCTTTTCTGAGCTTCAGAATCACCTGAAGCCATGATAACACTCAGGTTTTGCCCCGGAGCCATTAAACGAGAAGCTCTGGGCGTGGCTCCCAGGCATTGGCCTGTTTTAAAGCCCCACTGGCAATGGATTGGGAACAGCAGTACCAATGTGCTGAGCCCATGTCGTGCACCAGGTACAGTGCTAAACGAAGAAGTTTCGGGGTGATGGGGGGGGGTCACGGAGTCTAGAGCCGATATGGACAAGAAAGAATTCTTGAAGATATCTTTGGTGCAAAAATATGATTTTATTAAAACACGGGGGCAAGAAGGGCTGCACTGGGTCCTGACAGGTAACTCATTATATGCCCTCAGGTTGGGAGGGGATCAGGGATAGAGTGAATATCTAAGATATTTTGGAAGCAACATTTCCAGGACCTTGACGGGCTAGCTGTTGCTAGGGAAACGTCACTTGCTACCGTTTAATACAACCTCAGTCGTGAGACCCTTCAGATTAGGGGCATAGCTCGGAGGATGATTGCCTGCATATATCTTGGGGCAGTTGAGATAAAGGAAGTTGACTTATAGGATCCTCAGGGTTGGGATCATGTTAGGCTAAGGTTCTCTTTTGCCTGCAGCAAAGTGCCATTATCAAGGCAGCTGAGCTCCTAGAGAGAAGTCACTGCTGACTTCAAGGACTTGTCAATGGGCTGTAGGCAGTAAAGGGGATTTAGTTTTTCATTTGCCTTAGTTTCCCACATCACTGTGGCAAGCACTTAACCCCCTTTCCTCTGTTCCTGGGTAGCTGGGAGTGTCTGAGGAATATCACACATGTCCCACATGGGGAAAGGGGCTGTATTTTGCCCTCAGCCTGCCTCATACTCCTTCATGACTAAAGACGACCAATTCTTTTTTTTTTTTAATGTTTTTATTTATTTCTAGGAAAGAGAGAGACAGCATGAGCAGGGGAGGGTCAGAGAGAGAGGGAGTCACAGGCTCCAGGCTCTGAGTTGGCAGTCAGCACAGAGCCCAACGCGGGGCTCGAGCCCACGAACCATGAGATCATGACCTAAGCGAAAGTCGGACGCTTAACCGACTAAGCCACCCAGGCGCCCCAAAGACGACCAATTCTTAATGTCCATGACTTCTACCATGTTAACATCACCCTTACATTACCGATGAAGCAAGAGAAGCTGAGATGTGTTAAGTAACTTGCCCAAGGTCGTCATTGGTCAGTGCAGAGCCGGGATATGAACCCAGGCACTGGAGCTGGCTCCCCACCCCCACACTCAATTTCATTGCCACCCTTCTCTGCTGCCTAGGAGATGCGAACACTGGTATTTCCCCGAGACCTGCCCATGAGTCGGCGCATGCAGAGAAAGGGCATCGTGTGGCCCGCTGATGGGAATCACCACGATTTCTCCCTGTCTTCCATGGAGCTGGGCTCCAGAAAGGATGGCGACAGCCACTCAAAAGAGAAGCCCGCAAGTCACATTAAAATGCCTTTATTCCCCCCGGTAGTTAAAGCAACAAAATCTAATGACGTGAAATAATAAAAGTTTCAAAACTGCAATCTGGCCCCTTGCTGCGAGGCTTTGCATTGAAACGATTAGAGCCCAGAGACTCAGGAATGCCGAGAAGTTCTCAGAACTGACTTAACACTTAGGTGACACTTTGATGATTTGAAGAGTGCCACCAACAGGCTTCTGCGGGAATATTTTGGGGAGGATGAAACAATTAGGAGCTGCAATACTTAACTACAAATGAATCCTTAATAAGTATGTTTTTCTCCAGAAGTCTAAAGATGCGGGGAGGGGATGGTTACAGTTCAGTGAATCAAGGACCTCACCCTTTCCATCCTCTGATCTACTATCACAGAGTGTTAGCTGGCAAGCTTGGGATTCCTTCTTCATGGTGAGAAAATGGTTGCCACTGCACCAAACACTGCATCCTCACATGACCACATCAAGCACTGGAAGGGCTAGAGTTTCTCCTCATGCTACAAATGCATGCACACATGTACACACACACACACACACACACACACACGCTCGCGCCCAGGGAACCTCTCCTGGGAACCACCCAGCAGAGTTTTCAGCAATTCTCCTTGGCTGGGATGGTGTGACTCACCCATGCCATAACCACAAGAGCTGGCTGGTAAGGCAAGTGTTGGGTGTTTTCTGGGAAGCAAGCTCTGCCATCAGCAATGGAAGGTAAGAAAATGGCTGATGGGGAGGCAGTCAGTGTTGGCCACAGTGGACAGTCACCGGTTTGCAGGTCAGACCATTACCACGAGAAACTTCTATTTGTGCTGAGTGGAAACCTTCTTATAATTTTTAAGCATCTGTCCTGAGGTTGCTCCTCTAAGAAGCTTCCTCCACCGTAACTAGCTTTCATTTTCCTTTGATTTTAAAAGTAATGTATTGGGGCGCCTGGGTAGCTCAGTTGGTTAAGCGTCTGACTTCGACTCAGGTCATGATCCCACGGTTCGTGGGTTTGAGCCCCATGTCAGGCTCTGTGCTGACAGCTCAGAGCATGGAGCCTGCTTTGGATTCTGTGTCTCCCTCTCTCTCTGACCCTCCTCTGCTCACGCTGTCTCTCTCTGTCTCTCAAAAATAAATAAATACATAGATAGATAGATAGATAGAAAGATGATAGATAGATAGATAGATAGATAGATAGATAGATAGATAGATAAATGAATGAATGAAAGTAATGTATCCTTGAGGGGGCGGGGGGCTCAGTTGGTTGAGCCTCAGACTTTTGATTTCTGCTCAGGTCATGATCTCACAGTTGGGGAGTTTGAGCCCCACATCGGGCTCTGTGCTGACAGTGCAGAGCCTGCTTGGGATTCTCCCTTTCCCGCTCTCTCTGCCCCTTCCTCCTCTCACTCTGTCTCTCTTGAAAGGAATGAATCAACTGAAAAAATAACTAAAATTTAAAAAATTAAAAAGAATTTTTAATAAGTAAAAAAAAAAAGGAAAAAGAATAGTGACCTAAATCACACTGTTTAGAGACAACTAGTGTTTACATCTAGGCACATTCAGATTGTCTTTCATTCCCTCACCATTACTAGGATTGCCGGCTCTCCTTTAGGTCTAGATCTCTTTCCCGGGGTTTTGACTGGGTTCTCTTTTGCCCCCGTAGCCTGATGTCTTTTGGAAGGCCACCTGTACCACTTCCGGGTCCCTTCCCGTGTTGCCATGGTTACCCAAGTCCTGGCATCTGCTTCATCACAGCACTGTTCTCAGATTTATCGAGGGCTTAATCTTTCTTTCAATGTGTTTGGTTTTTTGTGTTTGGTTTCTTTTTTTTTTTGAGAGGGAGAGAAAGAGCATGCGTGAAAGTGGGGGAGGGGCAGAGAAAAGAGGATAGAGGATCTGAAGTGGGCTCTGCACGGACAGCAGCGAGCCCGACGCGGGGCTCGAATTCACGAACTGTGAGATCATGACCTTAGCCGAAGCCAGGCTCACCTGACTGAGCCTCCCAGGTGCCCCGGGCTTAATCTTTTTTTATACCATCATATACCTTTATACTTAAATATCATCATATACCTATATACCTTCATATATACCTCTTTTTTGGTTGTTTTTCTATTTTTATTATTTTTAATGTTTTTATTTTATTTTTGGGAGGGAGAGTGAGACAGACCATGAGTAGGGGAGGGGCAGAGAGAGAGAGAGGGAGACGCAGAATCCGAAGCAGGCTCCAGGCTCCGAGCTACCAGCACAGAGCCTGACACAGGACTTGAACCCACAAACCACGAGATCATGACCTGAACCAAAGTTGGACGCTTAACTGACTGAGCCACCCAGGTGCCTCCTTCATATATTTCTGAACTGTCTGCTATGCAGAAGTTATAACTCTTCTTTGGGGCACAGGCCCTCTTTTTTTCCCTCAGGGTTTCTTTTCTTAATTTAATTTTTAATTTAATTTAATTTAATTTAATTTAATTTAATTTAATTTAATTGTAAACTCCAGCATAGTTACCACACAGTGTTATGTTATTTTGGGCGTACACTACAGTGGTTGAACAAGCCCGTACATTGCTCACTGCTCATCACAAGTACACTCCTTCATCATCTGTTTCATCCATCTCTCCACCCACCTCCCCTCTGATAACCATCAGTTCATTCTCTACAGCTAAGAGTCTGTTTCTTGGTTTGTCTCTCTTTGTTTCCTTTGCTCATTTTTTTGTTTGTTTCTTAAATTCCATATATCAATGAAATCATATGGTGTTTGTCCTTCTCTGACTTATTTTGCTTAGCATTACACTTTCTAGATCCATCCATGTAGTTACAAATGGCAATATTTCATTCTTTCTTATGGCTAAATAATATTCCATTACATGCATATCTTCTGTATCCATTCATCCATGAGTGGACACTTAGGCTGCTCCCATAATTTGGCTTGGTATATAATGCTGCTATAAACATAGGGACGCGTGTATCCCTTTGAATTAGCATTTTTGTATTTTGAGGGTAAATATTCAGTCGTGCAATTACTGCATCATAAGGTAGTTCTATTTTTAATTTTTTGAGGAACCTCTCTGCTGTTTTCCAGAGGGGCTGCACCAGTTTGCATTCCCAACAACAGGGGATGAGGGTTCCTTTTTCTCCACATCCTTGCGAACACTTGTTGTTTCTTGTGGTTTTTATTTTAGCCATTCTAACAGGTATGGGGTGATATCTCATTGCAGTTTTGATTTCCATTTCCCTGATGATGAGTGATGTTGAGCATGTTTTCATGTGTCTGTTGGCCTTCTAGATGTCTTCCTTAAATGTATGTTCATTTCTTCTGCTTATTTTTAAATATTGGATTATTTGTTTGGGGGGTTGTTGAGTTATATACGTTCTTTATATACTTTGGATACTAACCCTTTATTGGATATGTCATTTGCAAACATGCCCTCTTTCAATATGGGGTAAACAGCTCCCTTTGCATGTATGTTGATTAATTGCCTGCTTGCTTTTCATCTTACAACATTTACCAATTACACAGGCAGACTTTCATATTTCAGTGTTTCCCAATTTCCTTAAGCCAGGGATCCACAAACCATGGTTCTCTGGCCAAATCTGGCCCACTTCCTGCTTGTATAAACAAAGTTTTATTGGACACAGACATGCCCATTTGTTTATGCATGGTCTATTCCTGCTTTTGTGCTACAATAGTAGAGTTGACTAGTTGCAAAGGGACCCTGTGGCCCAAAGCAGAAAATATTTACTATCTTGCCCTTTACAGGAAAAGCTTGCTGATCAGTCTCAAACCAGATTCCCCTTTATAACTTCTGGCTGAAGTATCTACTCGCTGATCTCAGGCTTTTAAAATTTCCCTAAAGTCTTGAGTCTGATTATGTTCATCTGAATTTTCCATCATGAACTTGAACTCAAGTAACAGTGACACTAACAGCTAAAATTTATTGATAACTAATTCCATATACTAAGTATCAATTCCTCTACTTTCTGCAACCACACAATGAAGTAGGTACTAGTATCGTCTTCGCTTTACAAAGAGGGAAACAGAGTCAAGGCAAGATTAAAAAGAACATAGTTAATAAGTAGTAGAAGCAGAATTTGGACCCAGGAGATGGTGAACCTACACCCTCACCATTGTGCTATTCTGCTTACCTGGTGTTGATTCTCCCCCAAAGCTGGCTTCTCCCTTGTGTTCCCAGCCAGCTCTTCCTTACTGGTTTAAGTCCCAAGTAGAAGACCTCTGTGTGGTTTCCTCTATCCTCTTGGAGATGAGAGTACTAGCAAAGGAAGTTAAGAACTTATCTAGTTCCCTTTCTAGAAGGATCTATGGTAGATGGCTGTCTAATGCTGCCCCCATCACTACTCTACTTGCCTACAGGATGATTGGCCATCTGGGTTAGGAAACCATCTTACACAGCTTGTGCATAACCTGGCAGTTTTTGTGTATAAGCTTCTGTCTTTCTCTCCTTTTATCCAAACTATGGGCCACTCCCTCCCGCCTACTGCTTCATTCAGGGAGAAGATCTCATACAAGAGGGCAAGCTCCATATGGGTGCCATTGAGCTTTTAACATCAGTGCTACTCAACCTGGGTATATTTTCTTTTAAACAAGATGTAGCCTTTTGCCCAGACCGAAGCAGAGAAAAGGCTCTGTACCATTACAACGGGAGCCAATGAAAGCTTGAAACCCACAGAGGAGATTTCCAACGCTTAGACCACATGCCCAAGCATTAAAAGGAAGAACTATCTATTTAATTCATAACTGACAATAAATCTGATCTATAGACAACTTTGCAGGAACCCATTAATACACAAAGCAAGATCTACGTAGACAAAGCTTTCTTGCACTATAGGATCTGAGCAAGGCAAGACTCATAGGTAAGAACTAATAATGGTTGCATCAGCCACCATCTCCTGAGGAACCGCTTTATTCCAGGCACCAAGTTAAAAGCTTTTGTGGACATACTTCATTTAATCCACACTATTGTTCCACCATAATAATCCACTATGATTAAGGATGGGAAAACTGAAGTGTCAAGAAATTCTAAATCACTGCCATCACATACCTGCCTCCTCTCACGCAGGCATTTAATGAGAA